TGTTCTGCTTTCTGTGTTCAGATATATTTATCTGTCTCCGCTGCGTACTGACAGTCAGAAAATCTGTGAGATCTGCTGAAAGCTCAGTGACGAGGCAAATCCCTAATCAGTAAGACAAGCCCATTAGCATGATCGGTGACCGCAGTCAGTCACACGTGTTGGTCAGTAATGTGCGTGACTAATTTAGCAAGTTTCAGGTGAGAAACTCAGCAGTTCATTACTGCAGTTTCTGCATGCGCAGCAGCCATGTTGGATTTTAGGGCAGGTTATTGAGGGACATTCCAACATTTGAGGCCAGAATGTGTAACTCAGGAGGAATACCAGCTGTTTCTGGTGTCGGACTTAGATGTTAGAAAATGGCAGCACATCAGAAACAGCACAAATGCTTCACAGAGCCCAGTGACTTATTTTCATTCGGACCCATATAAAAATAAGTTTTGATACACTGACATGCAAGGCAAAATGGGCCACAAAAAGCAACTTAATGTAATCTGAACAGGGAGAGTGTGAAAATATATGTATTTAAATCCAATCTATGTTTAAATCATGTCTGAGTAGTGTAATAGATGTTAGGTAGAAGTTTCTATGTGTGGATATTTCTAACCCGATTGAGCTCAGGTTGAATAAATATATTAAAGAAACATAAAATCTAAATAAAATAAATAAATAAAATATATATAGGCCTATATTCCACGATCCAGAGCTACTTCATTTCAAGCCTTTTAGCTGGCTCGGTCCGTCAGCGTTTGAATAGATGGCAGAGCGTGACAGGACACAGACTGAGGCAACAGTTCTGCATAAACAGTACGTTTTCAATCAGTTTACTGAGGCATTTCTCTGTTTGTCATTCAGCATTCATACCAATTTGCGGTCTGTAATCTACTGCCAAGCTGTGGCCGCTGGCGGGAAGAAGGAGTGGGAGTTTGCCTGGGAGAAATTTCAGAGCTCCACCGACACCTCAGAGAAAGACCAGCTCAGAAAAGCTCTGTCCTGCACCAAGAAGACTTGGCTCCTCAACAGGTGATGAGAATAATAATAATAATAATAATAATAATAATAATATAATAATAATAATAATAATAATAATAATAATAATAATAAAAACAAACAAACAAACAAAAAAACACCTTCATAAAGTGAATTACAGTCATGCCAGATGTTGGGAAGCAGACAGTGAATCAGAACCTTTCTTATCTTACAGATACCTGTCGTACACTTTGGACCCTGATAAGATACGGCTGATGGACGTCACTTCCACTATTAACCTCATAGCGCAAAACGCCGCGGGTCAAGCGCTGGCTTGGAACTTCATGAGAGCCCACTGGGATTACGTCAGTCAGGGGTAGGTCCATGTTTGGGTCGGAAGCGCCTCTGAAACACGGACTTTCTCCGAGGATGGGGAGGAAGGAGCTGTGTTATTGTCGAAATGTTTTTGGGCAACACTGTTGCCCTCTGTCACTTTTGTAAAATATTTTTCTTTAGAGGACTTTAAACAGTGTGATGTAACTCATTTGTGATTTTCAGCTGTAACTATGGGGAGGACAAAACAGTTAAAGTTCAGATTTGGACAAAACTGGAACTTTTCTTTCTGAAACAGCAAATGGTTTCACTGTGTTTAGAGGATCGATGGATCCAGTTTGTTGTCTGTGGGAAAATTCATATTTGCCACTACTGAGTTACAAATTTGTCGACACATGTTTAGCATTATGACTGTTGTGTTTTAAAAATATATAATAATACAGTAGAGCAAGGGGGGGTGTATTGACCACCCTGATGATGAAAACGCCCTTAAACAACATATATGGTCAGCGCTGCTTTTTTTTTTAGCTACAAATAAACATAAAGTTTTGTAATACCACCAACTAGGTCCACTTCAGGACAAGAGCTGAGCCAAGAAGACGGTTCTTGGGAGGCGTTGTTTACAGAGGCTTCGTGACAATTTAATTGCCCGCGTTAAAGTGAAGTCGTAAAAATGAGCATTTCATAGAGTGGCTTATAATCCTGCCCTGTGTCCACAAGGACAAAGGTCCTGAAATGTAATCAGAGCTTATCACTCCTCACCATAAAGTCTCCACTGTTTACGCTATAACCGGGAAGCGTATCTAAGTATATATATGCACAAGATACAAGATTTTATTTAATCACCAGTAGTTGTTTATCTAAAGCAGTGAGTGTCGAACTCATTTTGATCGTGAATGTTCTTGAAGGGCCAAAATGTGTCAAAATGTATTGGCAAACCCCCACTTGTTAAACTTGTTAAAATGTCAATGAATTCTCAAAATGGAATAATATTGAACATCTTTTCAGTTCCTCCAGGATTCCAAGATTGCTCTGTGATTTCATCAAAGTGTTTTTGTGGCACCAGTTTGGAAATATTTGCGATATTTACGTTTATTTATGAGAGTAAATGCGATTTGTTATTACTCGCTGTACAGATCGTGGACTGTGATCTGACAGCAGTTAAGGCTGAGGCAGCTCTTTAGGATAAGCAAAGAAGTTATTCACGACTTTTGAGAAAAATCTGTGGTCAACTCCCAATTATATATTAGTGCAAACAAGTGCGGGGATTTGTTGATTTTGTGAATTCTCAAGAAACTGGAGGGACTGATTGACATAATTTGGCATTAAACAGATACAAACTGCATTGATTGGATTGATAGCGTAATAAATAATAATAAAACACACTTAGTGTTCAGTCTAGAATCTAGAGGGCCACGTAAAAGGCTATGGCGGGCCAGATTTGGCCCACCAGCCTTGAGTTTGACACGTGTGACCAAAAGTAAATTAAAAAGCAAACGTGCTCCACCCTCTGCTCTGCTTGATTTACTGGTTTCTTCAGCTTCTTCACTTGTTTCCTTAAATGCCGTTGCTGCTGTTTTTACAGGGATGCTGCTTCGCTGGTGATGGGCGTGACCAGAAGGTTCTCCACACAGTTTGAGCTGCAGGAGGTAAACGTTGAATAAATGCCACACCTCGAACCGAGTTTAACTCTGATTATCTGCTTATATACCTAATCAATCGCAAATTGATCACGACCAGTCCGGTTCAAACCAAAGTTTGGTCGTTATTTATTTATTTATTTTGTCGACTCTTGAGGTCTGCCCCTGACTTTAATGAGTTATCAAGTTTATTTGTGTTTCTCCAGATCTTTCCTCATATTACTTAATCAGTTGAATGTGTCAAAGGTCACTGGCCAAACACCATGTTACGTTAACTGTGACAGTAATACGAGTCCACTGGTCAAAGTTTGGCTTTGTTTGTTCTTGTAAAAAAAAAAAAAAACTTTCAGTTTCTTTTAAACTAAGTGGGTCATATAAATATATTATAACTCTCAAGTCTTCATTTCTCTTCTGAATTATATTTCAATCTTCTAAAAATGTGAATTTAGTTTTCTATTTGAAACACACACACATCACTTCCTTGTTTCTTTTCTTTTTTTTCATTTGTGTCCTATCTTGATAAGACTTATAAAAATAAATTATTGGACATCGCCCAGCTATTTATCTAATTAGTAACTTTTATCTTTAAGATTTGTGTATTATGTTTAGCTAGCAAGAGTCTGGCAAAGGAATTTGGCCACTGCAGTAAAATCATATGATATACACACATCTTTTATGCTTTCTACAAATCTCTGAGGTCTTCTGGAAAATATGTGTGCAAACGATTACAATACTTCCTAACAATTATGAGTAGTTTCACTGACAGCGAGGGCTCTTTCTGTCGGATTTGGCTTCCACATTTTGGGGTTTTCAATTACGTCAATTTGTGCCTCCAGCTGATTCACTTCAGGGACAACGCAGAGATGAACGGCGCTTACAGAGCCACACTTCAGGCCATCGAGCAGACCCAAGTCAACATCCAGTGGGTCAAGGAGAACCACGACACGGTCCTGGAGTGGTTTGAGAGAGAGACTGCCGATCTCGAATGATCAAAGTGCCAGATGTTTTGCGGCCCGTCGGATCGGCAGTCAAGCCGGTTTTTCAGCCGACCCCAGTAAATCTAAGTAGAGATGAAAGTTAAAGGATTTTACACACCTCTGTCGATCAGACAGAAGCGGCACGACGTGCAGCAGAGACAACAAGAGAAGTGTGCTCTTGTTTGTGTGAATAACAACGGACCTTATTTATAGTGTACTCAATGCAAATAGTTAAAACATAGATTTTGTTCCCCTTTATGAATTGTTTGTTTACTGCTGGAACATCAATCCATTGGTAAAGATGTTCCTGTATGAGATTACTTGTGTGTGTTGCTGCTGATTTATATAAATGTAATGAATATATCTTATTTTCTTTTTTCTTTTACGGACTGACAGTTTGATTGTTATTTCACTGTCCCAAACACAACCTGCGTTAAAAAGAATCGTTGATAAAATTTCTCAAATGAACCGGTCTCCATGCTGCTGCTGGTTCCCAAACACACACAAACATCCAGACTGACACATGAAAGTCTGCCTGAGCGTGAATGTTGAAATCAAAGAATCCAATTACTGTCATTGCATTCATTTTTGCTGAAATTGTTATTTTTAATAATAAAACATCAACCGCAAGCCCTTTTCATTTGGTCTGTTATTTTAGCTTCAGTTACAGGAAATGCCACGCTGTCCGAGTCCCAACTGAGATCAGATGTAATCAGACACAACTTGTTTTAATTACCAGTTTGTTTTTCGAAGGATTCCTTCATTGCACAGCGAGCTTGTAGCCATCTAGAGGGATTTATTTGGGCTCGCAAAAGCAAAGCGAACAGACAGCGCAGTGTGAAAATGAACTCTTCATCGCTTTTAGCGTTGATTTATGTCGGAAGGTTTTGGTTTACTGAATCAGTTAGGGATAAAAAGAGTCCTAAACTCCAGAAATGACCCGTGTTGTGTCCACAAGTGAAAAACAACTTAGTATAGCACTTTAAATAGGCTATTCTGGCACTTTGTTAGCGTTCATTTTTGACATATTTCTGTGGTTGACCAACTTTAAAAGACTAAAAACAGGATTTATGCTCCGACAAGCTGACCCGCAATCGTACTTTATTGGTATTATGCTTAAGAGATGAAAACAAAGTACAAGGAAACGTGACACATGCTGTACTTTTGCACATGTACAAATCTTAAGAAGTGTTTTGAATGTTTGTGTTTTACTCCAACGCCTCCAAATAAAAACAGTAGAACAAAATGGCTTCCTGCTGGCTTTGTCAGAAAAACAAAAGTGAACAAGAAGGTCATGGAGAGATTTAAAGCAGAGTTAAATCAGCAAAATCCCAAGCTGTCAACATGTCAGGACTTTTCAATCCAGCATCTGCTACTGGGACAATAAACTGTTCAAAAGATTGAGAGAGCAACTCTGAACATGAAAGAGACGTCCTGTGCCAGTTGGAAAAGTGCAACTTTCCTTTTTTTTTTGTAGATTCTTATTTTAGGATTTGTTGTTTCTCAACTTCTCAACCAAGCTATTTTATTTTATTTTTTTAATTGTGATATGCAGTCGCAGTTCAAATACTTTGGGGAAAATTAGGAACAAAGCAGTCAAATGTTCCTGAAAATGTTCCATCCATATTCAGAAACAATCAACTTAAAAAGAAACCATAAAGAATTTAAACGGGGCTGTTTGTGATGAAGGGCTTTGAATGGCCTTCAAGATTTTGAGAAAATCTGGCTGCTTGGAAAGAGACTTTGAACTTTTCCCTAATATGGAATAAATTTGGGAAAGAAATCTTATCTTATGCGCCTGAGCTTAATTTTCAGACAAGCGGGGTGAAAACAACAAGAACTCGGAGAGCTCCGTTCTGTGAAAGAACCAAAAAAAAATGTGATCAAGAAAATAACTTTGCAACAGTGACTAATGACGCTACTCAGGTTGTGTGTGGTCGTCAATTATTATTATTTTTTTTTATAAATGAGGCCATTTAATTCAAAAGATAAAACAAAAAAAATACTTTTTTTTAAAAAGAGCACTGCAGTTGCAATCTTCAGAGTCGATGCAGGATGAAAACCATTCAACCCTGAAGACTTGATCAGAACCCAGGATGGAGCAGGAACCTGGTCTTCAATCGTCCTGAAGAGAAATACAGGTCGGCTTATGAGCAATAAATCCAGTCACATGCAGAAATCCTAATTAGAGAAATATCTAATAGGCAAACATGATTGTTTATTTGCATGTAGGAATATACACTATAGATTACTCCTGTGGCAGGCAGAAGTCATTAAGTGAGGCTCAAGTCATGAGTGAAGTGCTTATTTTGCTAAGCGTTGAAATTCATATTCCATTTTCCGGTCAATTAATCACAGAAATATGTCATGCTGGCATTTTCATTTATTCACTTAATAAATAGTTCATTATTTATTACACCAAAATGTGATTAAAAGTTCAAAATAATGAGTCATATTTTAAAAAAAAAAAACCTAAACAAAACTTAAACAACAAACAAAAGTTGAATTCAGCAAATAATAACTGGATGTGGTTCTGACCCATTCGTCTTCCTCGGCTCCCTCCCCTGCTGCTCCGGGCCTCTGAGAGCTGCCGCCGTCTGTTTTGTTGGCCATTATCTTGTCGGTCCACGAGGCGCCGGCCTTTTCATCTCCAGCAAAGTTGCATTTGGTCACCGTCCCGCTGTCCACTTTGGCTAAAGAGTCTGCGAGATAAGAAAGTCGGGAACGTGATCCACGCTGCGCGTGACGCACAGCAGGGGTTCAAAAAGCAACCCAACCAATTATTTGAAATCTTGATTATTTCGTTTTAGGTTTAAGGCTTGTGATCTGGTAAAAAACCAGCACAGCTAAATAAGCTTTTTTTTATTTTAAAAAAATATTATTTATTGTTAAATAATTAAAGCACACTGACAGATAAAAGGACTGTTTCCTCTGGTCTTCAGTCGGACTTCCTGTCCCGTTTCCAACTCAGTTTTGTCCATCTCTGACTCTGGGTACCAAAAGGCCCAGCTCCCAGCAGGTCGGAGCCGGTCTGTGATTTTGACCAGCTCAGTTTTGTTGATCATCTGCGACAGCTGATCCTCCGTCAGACGGTCGGATTCTCCTTTGGCTTCCACCTCTGCGGCGACAAAAAAAAAAAAAAAAGAGAAAAAAAAGTCAGTTTCGTTTAAAAATGAAAGTAAAAACATAAAATGCTTTTCCCCACAGTGCGAAAGTTTGTTATTTCTAATATGAAACTGTGGTCGTCACTCACTGTAGGAGGACATAAGGAAGCCTGTGTTGACCTTTCTGGTGTCGCTGAAGTTCGGCTCCACCTCATTCCCACTGGCTTCGAATTTCCTCTGATGGATGCGTCCGGGTTTGACGTACAGCACGTAGAAACGTACCTGACATATTTTTTTAGAAGATATAAGGAGAGAAAACAAAGAGTAGTTTAATTTTCATAAGTCTTTGCCTTCAACTTAGGTTTTGTTTGGCTCTGGTACCTTCTGAGTATATATTTTTTAATATTTTTAAATACACTCTTATAGCAGAGCTAAAGCAGCTTAGCAAAGCTTGGATAAATTCCCTTATAAGATGTTGTTACATATATAGTTCACGGTGTTGCTCTTTTTTGTTTGCTTTTATTGCCACAGGCAGTAAATCAAACCTTTTTATTTATCTCTTCGTTTTTTGGTAATTAGCTTTAGTTTCATATTTACTGGTTTTATTCAGATGTATGTCTTCTTTAACAAAACAAATGCTGCATTTCAAGAACATCTACTGTGTCAATTATATCAAACGAAAACAATCTAACAAAACAGGAAACAAAATAAAGAAATAAACAGAAAGTCACTTAAAAAATAATACTTAAAAAACTTAAAAATAATAGTAAAATATACTTAAAAATAATAGTAAAATAGTCAAATGTAATGTAATGCACAAAAGAAAAAGACAAAAAAGATAAAAGCATCAAATAAAAAAAACAGAAATAAACATAAGTCCATCAAATAACAAAAAAGACACATTACAATCTAAAAATGCATTTAAAATGAAGGTCAACATGAAATAAAACTGACATTTATTTGCACAAGACTCCCAATAAAAACAACAAAGAACAAAATCAAATCAAAACGCATTTACACCACGCTAAATAACGAAAATAATCAAAATTTGAATTTTTCTGTTGCAATTACTCAATTTTGCCGTAAACTTTTCAGAAAATCAGAACCACGCGTAAACAAAATGACATTAAAGAAAATAGAGTAAAAATAATGTAAACAGGTAAATAAGTGCGGCGCACCTTTTGTCCGCTGACGTCACTGACTGAATGCCTGGAAACGTCCATCAGCGTCCCCTCCAGAAGAACCCCGGGACCGCTGGGAGGAAACACGTCACATATGAATTCAATGAGCGCAATTATCGTCACACATTTCCGTCTTAAAATATGTGTAGTTTGTAAAGAGCCGTGTTAAAGGTCCTCGCACATTAATGAGGATCTATTTGCATCGGCGCGCAGGTATCTCAACATTATCTGCTTTAGCAATTTACAGATTGCAGCCGAAGTGTTTATTTTTGTGGATTTAGCGGCTTTCCGGATGTACGTGAAAGCGTCCTGGTCTTTATGTGAGGAGCAGGAGGAAAACTGTGATTTTAGTATCGGGGTTTGGTGCAACTGCTCTGGAGCTCCTACCTTTCATAGGCAGAGGGTCGCCAGGCGCCGCCGAAGCTCTCATTGTGCACCGGCTTGTTCTGTAAAGACGTGTTGTGATAGATTCTGCTCATTTTTTTTTAAACGTAATCTCAAGTTTTTCTTCCTTCTCGGGGACTTTTTTCCCCGTTTCCAAAGCTTCCTGTTCCTACTTGTAGCCGTGTTAGAGCGAGGTGCGCTGGGTTTTTACGCCTGCACCGCCGCCAGCCACGACACAAAAGTGCAAACCAAAGGTCGGCAACGAAGCATGATGGATAATATGTTTTTATTTAAGTGGCTTTTAAATGCGTCATCACATCAGGCACTCCTGTATGTGATATTTACACCTGGTCGCTATTTATACTGAAAAGTTATTAGAGAAACGGACACTGATTTGATGTTATATAAATAAAGGAAATATTTTTATATAGATCTGTATTGCTCAGTAGATTTTACATAAATTACATAGAACAAAAACAACAGACAGTTCCGTCTGTCTGATGATAGTTGAGTTGTCTTCACCAAAACAGGACTTTTAAGGAAAAACAATTAAATATTCAGAAATACAAGCGGCATAAAGTAAGAGGTAGGAGGTGAAATGACCACAGAACGAACAGATAAATGGAACAGGTGAACTCCAAAAAGCTAAAAATGTTTTGCCTGTCTTGAGCAAGAAAGAAATTCACAAACACAAAATCTACACAGAACAGCTTTTCCCATTTTTTCCACACAAGGGAAAGAACAGTTCCCGCCAATGTGTGATGTTGTGCAGTCAGCTGAGTTTGTGTTTTTACTCGTTGATGGATGTTCTTCTGGCTCTTTTGGGCCTTTTTGGCATCTCCTTTGGGCTTTCTCTGCGAGGCTTCCTCAATGGAGCCTCCTTCCATTTCAAACTTTCTTTTAAACGCTGGGGCCTGCTGGGAGCTTTAATACCCAGAATATCAGTGCGCTCTGAAGAGCAACATCCTTTCCCAGAGCGCTCACTGCTCGGGGATCTATCTTCCTGGTTCACATCACAGAGCTGAGCAGAGGTCGGCATCAGGGGAGCGCTCGAGTTACAGGGGCTGGGTGGGGTCAGGACAGCTGGACGAGGCTGTGGGTGGACAGAAACAGATTTTAGAAACATAAAATATTGTTTAAATTCAACTTCTTGTTATTACAAACCACTCCCGTCACTTTCACAATCAGCTCAGCTCATACGGTCAAATGGAGGTCTTGTTCATTTGATTCCTGGAAGAACCTTTAAGAAACCAAGATGACCTATATATGCCTATACTAGCACAGTATAATCCCAATGTAGAACACTGATTTTCCTACTTTAGTAATTGGCCAGACTAATGTGTGTACTTATTTTTTACTGTTTTTTTTTCTTTCTTTCTTGTAAGTCCATGATAAGAAACAATGCGCTTTCTTTCCCAATGGTCTGAGAGAAAAGGGGCCATTCACCTGCTCAGAGGCGTAGCGACCAAGTTGGATGTTGAGCCAGATGTTTCTTCTCTGAGTCCACTCTCCTGGAGCCTCCACCTCATACAGACGCGCCTGGTGTTCCTCATGCTGCAGCAGGAACTTCCTGATCACTAAATTGTCAAAAGTGTTAAAAAGAAGAAATACATTTCAACATTCTGCGTGAGCCCCTAAGAACATTTAGTTTCATAATTTATTGTTTTACTTTGTCCTCAAAGTCTTTTTTATACACTCCTTCCTCTGGGGGTCGGCATGTTCCCCGCAGGTTTTCCGGTTAGATAACCGGACCATCTATTCTAGGGCTTTGCTGCCTTCTGACCTCATCACTGCAGAATTGCAGAATTGTCCGCACATGCAGGTTTGATTACACTAATAAGGCAGAAGTTTCTGGAAACTGCTACAAATGCGTGCTGGATTACCCGAGGAGCCATTACACAGACAGATGTGGGCAATTTTAGAAGCATGCATGACTTAATCTGTTTTATCTGCAGATAAAAAGACGAACCGAGCAGAAGGTGGGATTCCAAGTCATTAAATCTACCATGTTTTGCTCGATAGAGGTGTTGAACGGGGCCATATTGAATCTCCCCCCTGTAAGAGTTGAATGGAATAACAGTCAGAACTAATGGGTCTTGAACAAACAACTGTCCCCTAAGGACGTTTCACCTGCCAGAAAACAACTGGAGGTGAAAACAATGATCTGACTCAGCTCTCCACCTGGTCAGCGAGAGGCCAAAAGGTTCCTGCCGTTGTGCTACGAGCTATTGACCATTAAGACATAAAACATAAAATAAAGGCAACCGCAGTCTGACAGCGAATGACCGCCATGCCGAACTCCAATCTCCAGGTATTTTTAATAAGGGCATATGGGAAACTTTATGTTGCATCCAAAACCCAAATGTCACCGCATACAGTAAATGACAGACATCAAAAAGTGAGACATGAAGGGACAGAAAATTAATCACTTCATTAACAATTGTCCTTTTTTCCCAGCACCCTGACACCCAAGTGGTAACTCAGGTTACCAGCTGTTCCTCATTCATGGATAATCGACATGGTGAAGAAAAAAAAAAGTTTGAAATGAAAGGCATGCAAATAGGGCCAGATATCAAGTATAGAGTTTCCCACAGTGACAACAGCATGTCAAAATATTTCCAAGTAAAGCTGAATGTTGCCATTGCAATAATTACAGGTCTTCTGAAATGTCCATATTGTCTGCCTGATACGCCAACGCAACACAAAACATTCTTCCCCCAGCACAAAACGAATGCAAGGAAGGGGTTTGGATTTGAAGTACGCGTTCTGACCTGCCACCATGTCGGACGACAAGGGAGAGCTGACTCCGAGGAACTCCTCCGAGGAGAAGGAGGAGCAGAAGTCATGCAGGATCTGAAGGCCGAAGCCTCTCCTCCTGCATCTTCTCCTCACCAGCACGGTGTCCAGGACAGGCAGTAGGTAGCAGCGGCTGCTCCAGCTGTCGCAGAGTCGGCCTGAAACAGCACAGGAAAGACTTTTTATTGTCTCTTGCTTGACCACAGGATTTTTCACTTCAGAGGAGCATTTAGAGATTTTAGGCGTTTTCCAGCTAAACAACAGTATCAAGGATTAGATCAAGAGAATTCAGCAGGAGCGCTTCAGTGAAGGTTCAGAATGAAATTTGACAACATTTGAAAATCAATTTCCGTGGTCACTCTGCGTCCAATCTGGCTAAACTCGATCTATTCTGCAAAGTAGAATGGTCTGGAGTTGTAGTCGCCATAAAGTGCCAAGCTGGTAGAGCCATTCTTTCAAAATCTTACAGTTTCACTTAAAGCAGAAGTGGGTTCAAAGTGTTGAGTCAGAGAGACTAATGAAAATCAGGAATCGTTTTCCGTCCAACCATGGCAGAGCACTGCATCTTTAAAGCTTGCATGTCTTCTATTTGAACATTTTAAACTTTAATAATAAATTCACAATCTGAATCCTCCTCTCAGGTTTGCAGAAACTGTGTGATTGACGTAAACTGACTGATCTTCCCCAACTTGCCCCACCTTTGTGTTTGATGGTGTAGAAGCCGACCGCCTGTCCGTCCTCCCACAGCACTTTGCAGGTTTCTGTGGGCGGGTGCAGGGAGAACCTCACCTCTCCGTGTGACCGAGGCCTCTCCACCACCTGACTGAGCAGGAACACGATCAACCTCTCCATAACGGACTGCACCTGCGGACGACGGGCCGACTCAGTTTCTGATGTAAATCGAAGAAAAATGTAACAACTTAAAACAATTTTTTTTCCTCTATTAGCAAATATTTTTTATTTAATACGAATAAACAGACTGTATAGTTTAGACTATTTTAACTTCTGTAAAACCTGACTGACATTGTTATCATTTTAGCCTTAGGATACAATGTTCCATGATCGTGAAAGAAAAATCAGTTCAGATTCTGACTGGAGAGTTGAAAGAATCTGACTTTTCAACTCTCACAGCATCATGGCATGCTCTTGGAGAAGCAACTCCGATGCAGATCACACAGAGATGCTTCACTCACTGGAATGTGGAATGACCTCAATCTATATTGCAAGGGACAAAAGCGTAGGAAGTCCTACGTGCGATGTTCTTTCAGATTCAGAAGAGATAATGTCTCACCAGATTCTAAGATTGTTTCACTTACTGGCTGCAAGCCCCGTCTGGATTCACTGGAGGTCTGCAGCACGTCGTCCAATGGCCACCACTTCTTGTGCAAGTATAAAGCTAAGACTGCAAGGTGAAAACAGAGAGGTAGGGGTCGGTCTGCGTCTGATATGCCATTTTTGGTGAAAGACCGTGTTTGGTTTAGTTCCAAACCCTGAGTTTGATCATGTGGAGGGTGAAGGGCCAGCACAGTGCAGGCAGGATGTTCGTCCTCAAACAGCTGGAGCTGTCTGATGTTGGCTGGTGTTACAGCAATCTACATGAGAAAAAGACAACAGTTTCAGCACAATGTGTAAGAGCTGTTGCGTTTTGTAACAGGAGCAGGAGAGATGAAGCCCTGTCTGTTATTTGTCTTTGTATGATTATATTCTGCTGCAGTTCCTCTGGCTTTTTTTGACTGTTTGGATTCCTTGAGGCATGGATCCAGCATTCCTGTGTAGCAGCTTTGCAGGATGGGGCCCGGTCATCCAATGCTTGAAACTTTCCCTTCGTTTGGGATCCAAACTGTTTTCAAGTTATTTCATGGAACTGGTTTAGATTTTGTGCAGAGCAGTTTGAAGGCTCTCGGCATGATGATCAGAATTTTTTTTCTCCCCAAAAATGACTTCATTGTATATAACCCCCTTTTGTACTGTTGGAAACAAGATCCACCTGTGTATTAGGGATGAAAGCTCCCATCTGGAGCTCCTTTCGTTTCTGTTACTTTGGTTTTTCAATGTGTAAATCCCAATCCTGCAGCTGGAGTTGTAGCGTTCACAATAGTAGTTTACTGTAGCTTTCCAGCTGACCTGGGATTTTGCCTTGTTTCACTTATGTAATCCTGGACATTTTGTTTATCCTTCATATACATTTCAGACCTGTTAACCTTTTGTCACAGTCTGAGTGGACTTCTCAAAGGGGTTTTTGTAACAGTTTCAATTGTTTGAACCGACTGTTTTCTTGTTGCTGCGATAATTCCTGTAAATCAGTCAGAAGTTGCAGTCTGCAAGTATTTCAGTCTAACAATGTTAAAAAAAAACATAGTTTAACATAATTAATAATAGAATTGTATTATTATTATTACCGTGCACAAACTTAAAAGGAAAAAATAAACAAAATAAATTTGTCAGTCTTGTTCCTTTAAAATGTAAAAATGAATAATACTTGTTATTCAAAATGGCATATATTTTTTTAAATTGCTGATAATTTTTCATTATTATTTCCTTGGTGTTTTTTTTCTTTTCTCACTCACTTACCTTCAAATATATGATGGCAACAAGTCCCAACGTTATAAAAGTAGGTAATTAATAAATAATAAATGTGCACCTGGAATCAAAACAGTTTCATTTACATAAATGTAACAACCCCCCACCCCCAAAAAAAAAAAAAAAACAACAAAAAACATGCAGTTAATGACAAGAATAAGAAAGGTTTATCCAACCTCTTTTGATGTCAGTAACGACCGAAACCACTCATTGCAGGACTGTGCTGCGTTCAGTGACGCTAGGTAATTTTCAGATGCGGACGTCAGCTCCGTGTCGTCCACAGCTGGCAGGTCGACAGGATACATGGCCCTTCCACAAGAGAAACACGAAAACTGATATTCAACCTGTCATATAATACTTTGGCTTCTTATGAGTTTCAAACACTGCGAGTCAATAATTAAGATAGACTTTGTGGCGCTTCATGACGTCTCTCACATTTTCTACAGGACAAGGCTGAAAACAACACGTCACGACGTCATAACAGTTATCTTGAGCCAAAAACAGCGAATATTTATCTAATATTCCGTAATTTTCAAATATCCTGTTCAAGCTTTACTATGACACGATAATGTGTAAGCTCTACCTGTACAGTCTTGGGGGGGAAAAGTAAACTTTGATCCCACCTTTGCGTCAATCAACAGCGCCATCTACCGACAAAAAAATTAGTTTCTCATTTGGTGACCGGAAGAACATACAGAAAATTAAGAGCAAATACATTGCGTTTTTTATTTCATTTGCAATAAAATAAAATAAAATAAAATAAAATAAAATAAAATAATTAAACGAAATGTGCAATTGAGTTTTTTTTTTTTTTTTAAAGAAAAACAATGTTTTCTGCTTACACTTTTTCTTGGGTTTTCTTGGGATCAACGCTTAACCTCAGAAAAACGACGGGAAAGAGTACATGCGTAAAACGCCCGCTCGAGGCTTCTGTAACAATTACTGCACATATGTTTGCGCATGGAAAACACATCAAAAGAACGTGGATTATGAATCTAAACATGTTTTTCTCGAATTAATTGCGCAGTAGGATTTTTAAAAGGTCAAGTATAAAAAGTAATCAAGGCGACAGTCGAGGTCTGGTTTGTGTTGATTTTATTTTGAAAAAAAAAAACAAGTAGCGGAAGCTCTTCTCTGTGTCGTTCATTATGATGAACTTAACAGGAACCGAGTTCACAGGGAAATAATGTGGCTTAATGTGACGCCGAGCCGCAGGCTGCTTTCTCTCCGGCGGAGTCTCGTTCAGTGTCGCAGCGTCACATTAGAAAACACCGCCAGGGTGAGTTGTGTCTGTTGTATCTATTTATTTCAAAGCCTTATGTCAGAAGGTCGTTCACAAAGTGAAACCAGGGAGAATTAAAGGTTATTTCCCAAACGCGGGGGAATGTTACATATTTAAATGCGAAATACATGTATTCTTATTTAACTTAGTATGCATTTGGTTTTAGATATTCAGATATTCTTTCAATTTGCGCGTTGTTTATTAATTATTTTCTGCTTTTATTTTGTAGAATCTGTTACTCTGGAATAGTATGGACAGCTTGTTTATCACGACCTAACACTTATTTTTCCTGCAAATAATCGCACCTGGTCCGCCATTGTGACTGGATTTAATATTAAACACGTGACGTTGGCACTGCGTCATTGAAATACATAGGTGAATGTCAGGGACAGCACTGACCAGTTAAGTGCTGGTCAGTGCACTTAACTATAAATATATATATAATATATATTTTAGTTAAAGAAAAAAAATATATATCTAAAAAACAGATATGGACCTGTTGAATGAAAACCATTAAATGTGTGTCATTTGTTCAGAAAGCTGCTGTAGACAAGGCTCTCTCTGCATTCATAAGTGTGTGTGGAAAGGACAACGTCTCTCTGGGCGAAGCCATCAGAGAACAACACGGCAAAGATGAGTCTGTGCACAGGTCAGAAGTCCTCTGTTCACTGCATCTTAAGAGCACTGCTGTAAAAAACTAAAACAATAAAAAGAATTGCCTGTTCTTTTCTGTAAATGGTGGACCATGCTTCTGTGCAGATGTCGACCCCCAGACGTGGTTGTGTTCCCGCGCTGTGTGGAGGAGGTCAGTGCTCTGGCAAAAGTCTGTCATGACCACAACCTTCCCATCATCCCCTTTGGCACTGGGACGGGTTTGGAGGGAGGGGTTGGTGCGGTGAAGGTGAGAGCATGTGTCAGTATTTGTCCCACGAATACATCTCTTGACAAAAAGTTTCTGTTTCCAGGGGCACGTCCAATCGGGCTTTGGTTTTAATCTTTAAACATGTAACTGTTTGTTTGGAAACAAAAAATCCAACATATACATTCTTAGGTGAAAAATAGATCTTAAAAATATTTCTGTTATGTGTCTCTGTGATTCTTTTTTTTTTTAGGGTGGTGTTTGCTTCAGTTTGAGGAACATGGATCAGATCTTAAACCTTCACCCAGAGGACTTTGATGTGACCGTTGAGCCTGGTGTGACCCGGAAAGCCCTTAATGCCTACCTACGGGACACAGGCCTATGGTTCCCAGTGGGTCAGTCACACAGTCTCCCAGTTTATACTCCATGAATTGCAGTTTACTGATCAAATGCTAACTTCTGTGCAGGTGTGTCTGTGCAGTTAGTGGATTATTGTAAAGCTCTTAGCAATACTAAAGCATAATTGCGATGAGAAACAGCAGCTTCAGGTTTTTGCTGGCTTTTCTTGGCTTGATATTTGTTTGACTTATTAATGACATGGCGGAGTCTAATGTTTGATATATTTGCTGTTGGATTTCAATCTCTTCAGAACCCTGTAAAGGTCAGGTGATTGTGTAATACATAAGCTTGTCGCTGGCAATCTGGCCCTCTAGCTGTATTCTTGGATGCTGGTTTTAGATCCTGGAGCTGATGCTTCCCTCTGCGGCATGGCTGCCACCAGCGCTTCGGGAACAAACGCTGTGCGTTATGGCACCATGAGAGAAAACGTCATGAACCTAGAGGTGGTTTTGTCGAATGGAACGGTCATACACACTGCCGGGAAAGGCAGGCGTCCCAGGTACAGCGTCAACCATCACCTGCACTCTGCAGCCTTGCTTACTGTAGTTTCGTCATCTGATAATTCTGTTCTCAGGAAAACTTCTGCAGGATACAACTTGACAAACCTGTTTGTGGGGTCAGAGGGCACGTTGGGGATCATTACCAAGACTACGTTAAGGCTGTACGGCATCCCGGAGGCCATGGTGTCGGCTGTCTGCTCTTTTCCTTCAGTCCAGGCCGCTGTAAACAGCACTGTGCAGATCCTGCAAACTGGAGTCCCCATTGCTCGCATCGGTACAGACAAGTCAAATATCTTCTACTTGTTAAGAGTTGACAACTACAATATGAAGTATAAAGCGACTTCAATAAATTGGCAAAATGTAGAGTATCACATTTGTAGTCACATTACTCTTTCTATTGTGTGTTTGTGCTGTCAGAGTTTCTGGATGATGTCATGATCGATGCGTGCAACAAGTTCAGCTCTCTGTCCTATGCCGTCGCCCCAACTCTGTTCCTGGAGTTCCACGGGTCAGAACGCAGCCTGGAAGAACAAGTCAGCACAGCTGGTGTGTGAGAGAGTGGCGAACGGAAACAATTTCTCTGACATTTACCGTGAGCTTCCAACATGCTCTACAGATCGACTGTTGCGCTCATAAAGCTAAGACTGCTTACTTTTGGGCAACAAACGAATAGAACCCAGCTAATGAAAATTATTTAAAAATCAAGAGTCATACTGACAATCAAAACACTTACGGTCTCCATGTGTATTTCTGCAGAGGAGATTACACAGAGTAATGAAGGGTCAGACTTCCAATGGGCTCGAGACGCTGAAACCAGGAACCGTCTGTGGAAAGCTCGCCATGACGCCTGGTACGCTGCACAGGCGCTGAGACCTGGCTGCAAGGTAAACATGCAACATTACACCTGCAGAAGTCAACCATATCAAGATGTGATGCATTTCCAACTATACCAAATCTTAGATCAATTTATGACCGATAGTCTCAAATATTGTTAACAGTATAATCATATTGTTACAAATCACTGTCATCGCTTGCCATAGTATGGCCCTTGCTTTTTCAGTGTACTGTTTTTTTCCATCGAGCAAGATGGAGGCCAGTTACGTATTATAGTTATATATTTCTATCTAGGTTTGTATAGAAGAGCCGTCAAAGGATATACAATTAACCTATATCAAAGTTTTTTTAATTAATATATTAGTGTTATCATTATACATTTTTTCTTCTTATAAAGTAACACCAGTGATTTTAAAGAAGGCATTTTCTCAAAATGTGTGTGTGTTTTTGAAGGCTTACTCCACAGATGTGTGTGTCCCTCTGTCGCAACTTCCTCAAATCATTGTGGAGACAAAGAAGGACCTGCTTGAGAGCAGGCTGACAGGTGAGAGAAGGACATCGGAAAGAACTTCTGGTGCTTTAGAGGTTTTTAGCAAAGCAAACATCAAAGTGCATTCGACCTGCTTGAGTTTTATCACTTAGCAAACCACCAGTGAACATACAAGATAACTGTTGACTGTGTGTGTTTTGACTTTGTCTTTTTTTGTATGTCTTTATGATGTAAAGCACTTTGAAGCCTTGTTGCTGAAATGTTCTATACAAATAAACTTGATTGATTAACAAATCCAACTAAAATAAAAATGAAGTCACATAAATCATCCACTAGGCCTTTTCTGCGTAATGGAAATAAACACATTTTGTTTCAGGTCCTATTGCAGGTCATGTCGGTGATGGCAACTTCCACTGTCTGATGGTTGTGGATCCAAATGATCCAGATGAGCTGCACCAGGTCCATCTGTTCACAGAGAGGCTGGCCAGGTAACATTTCTCTGAGGGTTGAATCAAACCTGAACCAATGCCTGCTATCTGTGATTGTCTGACTGTCTGCGTTTCCTCTCCAGGTCATTGATATGCAAAAATCAAATTTTCTCTTTGTTCTTCTGCAGGCGAGCGTTGGCCATGGATGGTACGTGTACAGGAGAGCATGGTGTGGGTCTAGGAAAGAGAGCGCTGCTGTGTGAGGAGGTGGGGTCTCCGGCCATTCAGGTCATGAAGGGACTCAAGGACAGTCTGGACCCAAGGAACCTGATGAATCCTGGAAAAATCCTCCAAAGAGGAGAGTTATAAAACTGAACTCCCCTCTAGAGGGTGAGAGGATGGTAAAACATTGGAGTAAAAAAAATCATGAGGTTGTCTGAGTAGTTGTACATCAGAATTCAGTGAAGAAAATTTTAAGATTTATTGCCACTGTAGTTTCTGTTGGATGCCTGGAAAACAGAAGAATACAAAAAATATAGCTGCTGTTTTTGTTTATAATTTCTTGAAATGATGAAAATGTGACATCAAATAACGAGATTGTATTACTGTTGCTGAGGACGTCCAGTTAAAGCCTTATTAATGTTTGTAATATATTATTACATTTTATTTCATTTGTAAAAGGGTTTTAAAAATGCAACAACAGTTTTGGTCTCACTAAAGCTTGAAGTTTCCACAAATGTTTTTAAATTTGCTGGCATTAAATTTTATATGGTAATTTTATCCTTTGAATAAAGGATAAAATTTATTTTGTAAATGGGAAACAAAAGTAAACCCAACTATTACATCTATTATTTTTGAAACAGTAAGAGGTTGATGCTTGTTTATAAATGACAGTGAAGGGATTTTTTTTCACTGATTAACTGGAAGGTAATAAATACTTTTGATTATAATTTTCTCAAGAATGGCATTAAATAGTGACTATTTGATTTGTTAATTCCCAGACGTACACCTGTTGCGTGAGTTATTTTTGTTCTTTTTGATGATTATGCATTACAGCCGCACCCAGAATGCATTGCACAGAAAATATGAGCATTAGTCTACCTCCTGAAATGTACAGTGTGTCCATGTATTATACACTCTGTGCTGAAGATTGTTTTTGCAAGAGTTACTGCATCACACAATCCTGGAAACTTTCAAAATTTCCCAAGTTCCCAACACAAGATACTAAAGACAAGGTGACGGATGGAAAAAAAAACAAACTTATCTCTTATTGTACACATTGACAAAACTAATCTCCATTACTGAGGCAGAATTTCATAGTGGAGATGTGAATATTTTTGTTCGTTGATCACTGACAACGGAGATGCTGGAGTGAACACCAGTCAGCTGCAGTCTGTGTTAATGCAGAAATCCAGGAAGAGCTTCAGCTCAGGATGATCCACTTTTAGGATGTCTGGATCCAAATCCAAGTGAAGCGTTGGTTGATACTGCAGTACTCGGTTCCACCACCTGGTGTCAGCATTTCTTCCATTTGTGACATCCCATCAGTCCACCTGAAGACAGACATAATAAAAGCTTATTCTTGCAGACTGGTAGGGTAAGCTGCTAAGTGGAGATTTGGCATGAGACCGTTTTCCTAAAACCAACAGTTTGAGCTTCTGGGCTGCTTTAAAAATCTTTGAAGAATATTGAATTTGTCTCTCAGTTTATGGACTGTTTGTTTTTGTTACTGATATTGATTTGTAAAAGCTCCCAGGCTCTGTGCATACAGACACAGTTCACTGAATGACTTGTCTTGAAGAAACTCTGGGGTATAAATATCTGTCTTATAGATGCAAAATGCCTCTAAATGACCATAAAGTGGATCAAATTTATCCAAAATGGACTCGTGAGAAATAAATCGCACAGAATCAGCCGCAGACAGATAATCTGTATAAGCACTCAATTTCTCAAGTGGTTTAGAAACTCAGCTAGAAAATGCATTCAATCTCTGACAGGATGTGGCACGGCTGCACAGTGACTTACTCCTGAGCCTGGGTTTAAATCCTGGGTTTAAATCCCAGGCTCAGGAGTTCTCCCTGCGCTTGCCTGGGTTCTCTCCAGGTACTCCGGTTTCCCCCCACCGTCCAGAAACATGACTGAAAGATGAATTGGTCTCTCTAAATTGCACTTAGGTAGGGGTGTTGGCACGCATGCTTGTTTGTCCTCTTTCCTCTGTTTTGTCCCGTGACGGACTGGCGAGCTTCATCAACTATTGGAAGGCTGGTGTGACTGACCAATATGAGTTAAGGAGGTCTGAAAGTATATATTGTGTTGTAGCAGAAAGAGATAGATGGGTTTTACTGGATAGTCAGGGTAGAGTGATGTTCTCTCTTTTCCACACTGCACCTCTCACTGTAACAGTTTCAAGGTACGCGTTTTTAACCCATCCATGCCTCATTGGTTTGAATGCCCACCTCTAATTTTATGTATTGCTTCCAAGCGGCCAACAGACTTTTATGTTTTGTTTTAAACAAGCATCGATCGCAAGTTTCCCAGGCTAAATATAGGACTTTCAAAGTATTAATTTGGACTTGGACCACCCATCCTCGTGCCAGAGCTTTGCAGCATACTTGCTGTGCAGCATGGGATTTAAAAATGAGGGAAGGGGAGGGCAAAGGAAGAAGTGCGGCGAAAAACAACTACGCCAAGCAGATGAACAGGACCTGATTTGCTTAAGTAACAGAGGAAATGCAGTGAGGCTCCTTTTCAGTATGCAAAGGTTTAATCAAGCAGCTCCAGAAGAACAGCTTTTTCAGTGCTAGAATTCTGTTTTCCATCTAACTACATTATATTTGATGTTTTTTGTACCAGAAGCAAAATTGATTTGAGGCCTTGGTAGATTCTGGTAACAAAGTGCCTGAAGACACAACATTGGTTCAATATTTAAGGTTAGGAGCCTTTTTATATCTGAATAATTTATGTGTAGCAATAAGGTGGATTAAATACACAAGGGAAACCTTCCTCTGTTAATGTTTGAGGACTTGAAAGAAAACCTTAGAATTTACCTGCTTTCCTGAAAGCCCGAGAAAGCAGGTAAATACATTCAAAAGATTACAAGAACGCAACAGAGGGAGGATGTCGACACGACAAAGTTGCTATCTTTCCCTGGATGAATTTACGTTATGTATTTCCTGTCAGGCTCTTAAATTTACAAGAGACCTGCTCGAGTGGATTGTGTTTGGTTTATTTGAGTCTGCGAGTGTGATTACATGCCCGAGCAGCAGAGAGTAGACCATTTATAGGCCTGCTGTCATTGTAGCAGGACAGATTAACACCTTCTGCGTGACGGTAAGGACTTTACAATAGCTTACCTTATTGGGGAGAAAGACCAGGACAACTTGCAAGAGACCTGCAAGTGGTAAAAACGCTCAACCAAACACAGAAAACAGACAACAGGCTCAAACTCCTAATTTCAAACAAACAAAACCTCCCAGCTGGATGTGGGAGCTTTTCTAGCCCTACTTAATTAAGTAGGGCTAGAAAAAAAAAAAGCACAAGCAGCCACAAATGTGTGTGTATTTTATTTGCATTGAATAGATCAGCTTTACCAAAGCAGCGTCCAGCAAGACACAAACCCAAACATACAACCGGAGTTACACTTGGAACGTTTCAGACCCGTGCAGTTTCAGCATCTGGATCGGCCCAGTCCAAGTCCTGGTCTCATTTCATTCAAGAGTCTTCGGTGAGGCTTGAAAATGCGTGTTCATAGATATTGTCCGTTTTTAGAAGAAGACATCTGAAAGTCTTGAGCTTATTCACTTTGGCTCGATACAAACACTCGCCGACCGTTTTCAGATTTGTCGCAAGAGATTTTCAAAACCATCATTTTCTTTCCATTTTAAAAACACTCTATCGTTTATATCGCAAGATTCAGATAGAATTCACTCAAATGTGTAAATATAATGTTAAAGAGTGTGGAAAAGTTAAAGGGGTGTGAATATAATAAATAACTTTATGGCTTGAGCTGATCATTTGTTGTTTATCCAGTTTGTCCAAATGGTCAGTTTATTCTGCCGGAGACTTTTCTTTAACTCACTGATAAAATATTGAACCACGTTAGTTTATATTGTCCTAATTGGGTATATGCAGTCTGCATGATATAAATAAGTCAACCGGTTTGTTGTTGCATCGACATGTTGCAGAGTTTTTGAAAGCCAATAACCATTCTTACTTCCGCCGCCACATTTCGACTGCAGCTCAGATGCTTTGGCACGACTTCAAATGATGCCATTCATGCAGGAAAGCCCTCCAGAGTGGCCATGATGAAACAGTTCTGCAGAGAAGAGTGGGCCACATCACACTAAAAGACGTATGGCACAACCTGTTAACAGATAGAGCAGATTGCTTCATGATATGAACATTTAAGTCTGGCAGTAAGCGAAAAAGGGGATAGATATCACTAAAGAAAAAGAAAAAGCACTTATTGGGATTAAAAAATATATATATTATTGATAAACGACCAATAACAAAATAGATTTTTTTATGTTTATGGGGCCTCATCTGTCCATTCTGAACTTATTGACTTAGCAGGAAGCTGTTTCAATTGGGGGAAGCAGGTAAGAAAAGCAAATTACACATTTTATCACACTTTCTTCTTCCAGTCACTGGAACATAGCCCAGTTCACCTTCACCACACCTGTCGCAGGTTATCCTGAAATGCCCCCTGTCTGATCCAGCAGATCAGACCCCCACCCCGACACACACACACGCACGCACCACGCACCACACACACACACACACACACACACACACACACACACACACACACACACACACACACACACACACACACCCCACACACACACACACACACACACACACGCAGAAAAATCCAGGCCAATCCCATGTCGAGGAATTAAAACAAAGTGTCGCTGCACCGACTCCCGGTCTGTCTGTGTTTGTGATCCGAGCTTGCGCACTGAGCGCGTCTATTGTCTGGTCAGCAGCAGCAGCAGCAGCGGCGGCGGCGAGGAGCGGAGAGGAGCGGAGAGGAGCGCCTGATCTGAGCGCAGGGGAGCGGCTTCACTGTGACCCCGATCTCCGGGGAGGGGGGCAGGAGGCGAAAGAGGAGGAGGAGGAGAAGAAGAAGAAGTGTCCTCTGGTTGGAGCTCACCGGACCGGACCAGCGCTCAGTGACGACGTCATTTATTTCCAAGACAGACCGTCTTTTATTTTGATTTATTTATTTATTTATTTTTTTGTCCTGGCGGTCAGACAGACAGCAACAGTTGTCACGATGTCTGAGATCAGATGAGTGGAAGAGCGGCGGAGTGAAGACTGCGGCGCTCCTGCGATCCGGACCAGCCGGGGTGATTCAGCCGTCTGAAGCAGCTGGGACGGCGCGCAGGGGGGCGGGGAGGGAGGGGGGTGGTGGAGAGCGGCGTGCGTCTGCTTAACCTTGCGGGGATTTTGGTTCGGCTCGGCGGCCACCCCCTCCGGTCGCGTCGAGGCTATCTATTTTTAATTGTGATATATTCATTTGTCTGGTGGCTGGGGTGAATCCAGACGTCGGGGCTGGCTCATGTTCCGCTCGGCAGGGAAACGGGCTGTTGCGTCTGCGGAGAGTCAGAGCTGACGAGTCTGCTGAGACGCACGGACCGACGGACGGACGGAGAGACAGGCAGGCCGAGAGACAGACAGGAACGAGGGGAGGGAAGGGAAGCGGGGGTTGGGGGGGCACAGCCTGTTTGGGCTTTCTCGACCCCTTTACGGATCGAGCCACCCAGAACCCCCGCCCGTTTCTCTCCCGCTTTGGATGGGGGGGAAGCAGAGCACGGCAGGGCGGCCCCGGGGTGCTTTCCCCGGCGTCTCTTCGGATGACAGCGCGGTGCCACCCTCGGCCCACTTCGGTCACTACCGGCCGAGCGGCACCATGGGCCTGCGGAGCCGCTCGGTGAGCTCCGTGGCCGGGATGGGCATCGAACACAGTCCCGCCGTGCCCTTCGGCTTCTACACCCCGAGAGGGACGGACTCGGACCGAGCCGGAGGAGGGTCCGGGGGCACGACGGCGGCCCCCCACGGGACCGGCTACCAGGACTCCGGGGGCGGCGGGCATCACACGGACGGGGTGCTCTATTTGGGGTCCCGGGGGTCGCTGGCTGACACCTTACCCCTGCACATTGCGCCCCGCTGGTTCAGCGCGCACAGCGGTAAGGATCTGCCGCACAAACACACACATCTATCTAATCCATCTGCAGACACACAAACCCAGCTGGATCGATCACTAGGGTGGCTCCAAAAAGTTAATTTTTTTTTAAAGGGGTGACTAGATGGGGGTTCGCACATAATCTTTGAATGGCACGCAAACAATGATAGCTGTGATGTAAATATTAGAGTTGCCACAATGTTATGTTGGGAAATAGTAAAATAATTTAAAATGAGAAAGTAAAAATTGCTGTCTTCAGGTTTCGGGAATAGGAATGAGTATTTTTGAAATATAAAGGAGGAAAAAGTGACTTAGGCAGTAATAAACACAAATAAATAAATAATAAGAAAAGACCTGTCTTCAGCTTATATTTGGCAGAAATTTGTAAATAAAATAAAAATGTATAAAAAAAACAAAAACCTGTATATGATATTGCTGGGCACGTGGCCAGCAACCTATTACAACCTATTACAAGTAGAGGTCATGTAGCTGTATGACGTGTTAAAATGGATGGCTGGATGGCGGTCATTTAAGAATATTGGAGTTGCTCATCAAAAAGGAAAGTAATTTCATTATATTATCATCACAAACCAGAAAAAGAACTGAACATACTAATACTTTTATCATATGAAGGCTTGGCACAGAGAACAGTGACAAAACTGCAGGCCAAATTTTAAAAAGAGTAACTCAACCTCCCTCCATCGAACTCATAGACACAAACAAATCTGCATTTAAAATGCAAATCACTTGATCACACCATGGACTCTCTTGGCCCCCCTTGACCCCCAGCTCCCCTCCTTGGAGGCGCCAGATGCTTCCGAGCACCCAGACTTTATTTACCTGCTGCAGTATAACGCTAACGTGGTGCCATTAATATTCACTGCATTACAGGGAAGTTGAGGCACTGAAACATCTGCTTCTTCATGCGTCTACTGGACACACACTGGGATGAAGTATAATTATTATACTTTTTACCTTCTGCAGGTTTTGGCTGAAAATGAGACCAGTGTAGGGCCGTTCATAGGTCATATTGGATTCGAACCATGAAGCGTGCACTCCATCTTGACTGTCACCACTGCACCATATGCATAGGTCATTCCTTGTTGTGTGAAATGACACTAATAAGCCTCTTGCCAAATCTGGCTGAGTCAATTAGCTGTGCGATTAGAGTGGAAGGAGGGCGGAGAGGGATGGAGGAGGGCGAGGCTGGAGAACCGAGGGTTGAGAGCGTTGTTCCCGCTCGCTAATCTTCAGCTCGCTTATCTCTCCAATATGTCTCTGTTTTTGCACGAACACACCTGTGCAGACACGAATATAGGCCTGCACAGGTACAGGGCAACCCGTAGCCGACCTTTCTGGGAAATGGACCACAGCTAAGCCTAAAATGTAGGTATTTATACCCCTTGCATAGTTTGTCAAATTGTTTTACTGCAACCACAATCTGTATCTTATATGATGAATCAACAGAAAGTAGTGCGCAAGGGAAGTGGATGGAAAATTGTAGATTTTGCTTTATGCTAAAAAAGATTTTGAAAAACATAAACATTGTATATTTCTGATGCATCTTTAATCTGACAACCCCAAATAAAAATGAAACTTTATTTAAAATTCACGTAATTATTAAAAACAATGAACCTTTACATAATTTTTGTCTCATTAAGAGTCCAGCTGTTCTGTGAAGGCCTCTGGGTTTGTCTGACAGCATTAATGAACAAACAGCTTCATAAAAACCGAGGAACACAGCGACCAACTTAGTGAGACATATATAGAGACGTCTGTAGCGAAGTAAGGTTATAAAACCACATCCCTGGATCTGAATGTCTCACAGAGCTCTGTTCAATCCATCCTATGATGCAAGGCATTGATCAGAGAGCCAACAAGTCAAAGAAACCCAGAAACCGGTAGAAGTCTGATCAGTGCAACTCTATTTATTAGTATCGGGGACATAGATGGTCATTAAATAGATATAAACAGTTTAATTTGGGGCCAACTAAACAACCAAAACTGGCTATTAAAAACTAAATGAGCTCAATATGAACCAAAATAATGGTCACAGATGTACAAGCTGCGGTCATATGATGCAGAGTACGGCTTCCGTTGGTGGTGCAAATTTTCCAAGAAATTTGCATGTAATCATGTCAGTTAGATCCACATGACTCTGACTAAACGCTTGACTTTTATTATCCCTGCAAACGTGGCTGCGCTGCAGCTGGCTCCACTGCAATCAAACATCCTGAAATGCCCAGAGTAAAGTAACCAAGCAACATGATGAACACCGTCTCCCTGCTCTCTCACATGCGTGCAGCAGGTCGGGCCAGGTCCCCAGGCTCTCATTACCAAAGCCCTGACCGGCTCACAGCAGGATGACAGCAAGTCAGACGTCAACATCTCAGCTGTTTTTGCCCTTCTTACATTGCCTAGCAACTCTGAGGTGCTTTCATATCTATGGAGGCAGATAACAACTCCAAAGCCGGGGAGGGAGTCAGTGGAAAACGGATGAAATTAAGAAAGGCGCCCATGTTCGATTGCAAAGTTGAACGAAGGGGCCTCTAGCAAACAAATAAACTGCAGTGAGCAGCAGCGTGTTAATAGCTAAGTCGCTCCTTTGATTTACAGTTGGACAGCCGCCGAGGGCATTTGTGGATGAGCCCAGTTCCTGCAGAGTTCACCGGGTTAAACCTAAGACGTCTTAAGATCTTTTAATCCCACATAAAATGCAAAATAATACCCTTTTCTCCATCACACAGCACAAAGGACGCAAGGATTACCGGCGGTCCTGACGGGCCTAGGAGCTCGAGGTTCTTTAGAGCCTACAAAACAAGACAAAGATGCAAAACAGAAACACAGAGACAAACAGGAGTAATCCAAAGGCACTAAAAACAGACACATATAGCTACAAGGGGATCCAAAGGAAGTGTAAAAAGAGATGGAAGGCTTGCAAATTTAAAACCATGAAGCAAACAAGATAAATGTCCAGAAGTAAACATAATTTAGGGAATCGAGATGAGAAAAAAAAAAAAAAGAAAGAAGAAATAACCAGATCTTTGTAGAATAGAGCCAGAACAACTATGGCCTTAGAGTATCTGCAAACAACAACTAGTAATAAGAGTAATGATTATAAACCACTGAAAGATCCCCTCGATTACAGACACAATTAACTAGGAAGATTTACAGTAGTTTCAGATTGATGCATCTCATTGTATTAGTTGTACTATTGTACTATTTTGGTTATTTTGTATCTTATTTTACCTGGTTTTGTCTTTATTGTATTTTAACTCTGAGAGCTACTGGCGATTTTATGTATTTGTTGCACTTCAGTCCACTATTGTTGCTTTAAATATAAAAAAGAAATACATTTTGACTTGACTTGATATGATTTGAGAAAAAAAAAGCCCAAGCTGACAAAGAAGTGAAAACAGCTGCGATGCAGAGGGATTGCCACATTTATAAGTTCACAAAACGACTAACACTAACAGCAGTTAGTGTCAGTACAGTTTAGATTGAAGCATGAGATTGATTTAAAATGGCCTAGTGAAAGTACATGTCTAACTCACATTGTTCATCATTAAAGTTCTGTTTGTAGCTGCCAGATACAATCTAAACAATCTCCAAAGTGTCACAACATTAAATCTGTTACAAATGATTTGTTGCTTCTCTGACGAGTTTTACCGCTTTTAATCCATCAAAACTTGATGGATTAAATCAAGCGTGACCTTTTACTTTAGTTATATCTAGTCCAGACAGTTTTCTTTTTGGGGGGGGGGGAGGAACCTGGCTACCGTTTTTTGCTTCAGTCGCAGGGCCCTCGTTTATTTTGCTGAGACCACTGATGCGGCTCAGCAGCCTGCAGATGCAAAACGCAAACAAAAAAAACAAAAAACAAAAACTTCTGTGGCTTGTCAACATGTCTTCATGGGTTTAAACAAATAACGAGGTTTGCATTTCAAATTCCACTGTTTCAAAATGAAACAGGCTAAAAACTCACTTTACTTACTCAATTAAGCAAAGATCAATTTTACGTCGGCAACTTTTGTTCCGTCATTAAAAGCTTTCACAAAAATCAGCTAACACATCAGGAGGAGAATTGTGCAGCTCCTCCGGTCTGGGTCAAGTTCAGAAACTACATGTCTGAATATGTAGCACATATTCAGATATATTTCAATAATTCATTTCAAGAATTATTGAAATGAATTAAAAAAGAAAAAAAAACTATGAGAAAGTCCATACATCAAAATTTTCAGGCAGGAGACAGAGTCCCTGAGACGAATGTGTTTGTGTTGATCTGAAGATAGAAGAATTAATTGAACAATTTAAAGTAAATGCAGGATAAAAAGCAAGATTACAGTTTTCAAATCTGGAGAAAAAATGGAGAAAAGCCCTGGATTTTAGCCACCATGTCCTGTGATCTAGTTCAACCAAAAATGAAATATTTAGTCATCATGGCCGTTATTACACTTGGAGGAAATACCTGAGATCATCATGTTGATAGATGAGTTTGAATGTATAAATAAAAACACGGAAATGTAACATCTAACAAAAACTTATATTGTGATACAGAATCTAAAGTGAAGAGCAGCAAACTAAATTTGAACCGCCCTTAAGTTTTAATTTTTCAGTAATTAGGATTTGTGTTTTCTGACAGGGCCCTGTCAGAAAATTAGAATAAAGTAATTAACTCTGGACTTGGCAATGACACAAATATATATATTTTTTTAACTTTTCATGACCAGTCTGCCAAACTGAAGTATGTTGTTTTTGAAGTTATCTTCATCCTAGCATTTGTCTCTGTTCAGAGAGGTTCAGATCCCACTCTAGTTTCCTCCCATTGTCGATGCAGTGGGCCCCAGTGACCCGGTGACCCTGGTCAGGACGAACCTGGACGGCGCTTTGCATCCGTTCTTCTTCATTTTGGTTCGAATTCCTAAAGCAATCCCGTTTGTATCAATTCTCGCATTCACGTTTAGAAATGTTCTTCTGCGCAAAGGTCTAAAGAAAACACATTTC